CAATTTTGCAATCGAAACTTTGAGTGCTTTGAAGATAAATTTTGATACTCGTTTTTCAGATTTTGATGTCATTTCGAATGAAATTAAGCTTTTTCAAAATCGTTTTGATTCTGACATTGAAACCCTGGCTCCGGAAGTCCAAATGGAAATTATTGATTTACGGTGCAGTGATATGCTTAAGAACAAATATCAAAATTCATCGTGACTAATTACAGTCTTATTTTAATATCCCCTCTACTTACCTGTTTATTCAAAATGTTCAATGAAAACTATCGAAATAAAAAACAGACAGTCATCAAGAAAAGAGGCAGTCTGGTTGTTTATTTAAAATATGACAATGTTTATAAAAATATATAATAGAAAACAAAAACATCTTTTTACAACATTAATATAATGTATTTCTCCAACAACCACTTTGGCTCAAAAAGCAATGAACGACAAAAAAAAGAAAAACGAGATAAAATAGATATATCATTCAAAATATGTACAGGAAAAGTCGACCCTCGATGAAATTCACAGAGCGAAATGGCAAATTAAAACTATTGATTTTTCTAAAACAAAATGGAGCAAACAGCTTTGAATTATTCAGGTCGGTTTTAACATGAAATAATATATTCGTTCAGTGTTTCAACGAAAAAATTCACTTTTTACAGCTGCCCCAAGTCAAGCCCTAGTAAATTCTCATTCATTAATCACCCATGAAAATGAATCACATTTAAGAAATATGCAACACATTTTTCATCAACCAATTTGTTGAATGATTCATAAACTACTTGTGAGCGGTAAATTTTTCTCCAATCTTGATACTTTGTGAACTGTTAAAGCTTTGAATTGTGCCTCATCAGACTTTTCAATGGAAGTCTGGAAACAACAAATTATGGCAAGATAACTATAAGAAGTCAAAGGTTCTGTTCTTGATTGTTCTATCAACTAGTCTCTAAAAATTAGCGAGATTTACTGAAATAAAAAATCACTTATCTATGACTACATCTGAATGTTCACCCTGTATATATAAACAGACTATTGAGACTTAACCTACTTATATCAAGACAGTGAAATTTCACTTTCAGTCTCGTTAATTTTAAGAGAGTAATTGATAATAGAGTGTATTAAAGATGTACCAGTCTCAACAATTTGAAGCCCTGATTAGTTACATGACAACAGACTTTCCGATGCTTCCGAGAGTTTGGAAACAGCAAAGTGTGGCATGATAACTATAAGAAGCTACAAAGGTTCCGTTCTTTATCATTCTATCAACTAAACTCTTAAAATTAGCAAGATCTACCAAAAAATCACTTATCTATGACTAAATTTGAATTTTCACCCTGTAGATATAAACGGAATATGTCAAACTTACCCTATTTATATCTAGACAGTGAAATTTCACTTGTAGTCTCGCTAATTTTAGGAGAGTAATTGATAACAAAGTGTATTAAAGATGTTTTGAGAGAGATTATAGAATGGAAAAACAGTGGTTCAAATTGTTGAGACTGCTACATGACAACAGACTTTCTGATTTTTCCAAGAGTCTGGAAATAGTAGAGTGTGGCATGAAAACTATGAGCCGCTACGAAGGTCCCATTCCAAAGAGTTCATTGTTAACTTTTTTTACTGACTGAGAGTGAATGATCACTCTGTAGCTATAAATAGACTAAGAAGTTAGCCCTCAATAAAGTACACTTCCAAATGACACCAACTTGTATGTTGTAGATTCACTCAGTTTAAAACCATCACAGGGTTCAATATTCAAGTTTCCATCGCCCCAAAGTAATTCTTTGTAGATAACTTCCCACTCCTAAAATAACATTGAGTTTATACCCATCAGATTTCTTTTCTGAGATTCCATTGGTATACAGGGGGTTCACAGTTTCAAAGTCATAATTTTACATAGAAACAAATCACTCAATTCTAAATGAAAAAACTTCAAATCCATTTTAATATTTGACGCCAAAGAAATCATTGTAATCTTCAATACGACACTTCATTATGTGGCAACGGTGCATGTCTAGCTAGTTCTTTTGATCAATTCGCATACCACATGCCTACCGACAAACAGTGACAATAACCGAGGAGAGGACAGATTGAGACCCTGGCGTCGAGTCACGGAACCCTTAAAGTGTGTCATTACTAGGAGTAGGAAGATTGAGACCTCGGAATCCATTTTAATATTTGACGCCAAAGAAATCATTGTAATCTTCAATACGACACTTCATTATGTGGCAACGGTGCATGTCTAGCTAGTTCTTTTGATCAATTCGCATACCACATGCCTATCGACAAAAAGTGACAATAACCGAGGAGAGGACAGATTGAGACCCTGGCGTCGAGTCACGGAACCCTTAAAGTGTGTCATTACTAGGAGTAGGAAGATTGAGACCTCGGCATAGCCATATTTTCCCGTTCTTGAAAATGGCTTCGACAACTTTTGCTATTTTTTCTGTTCCACAACAAAATTGAATCGGCATTTTCGTTTTGTAACAACCCCCAGATTAAATCTGTGAAATTAAGACATCGAAGACTATAAACACCACGCGAAACGAAATTATCTAACTGAGCATGACTTGAGCAGCTGTTTCTCAAAATTTCTAGTAAATGAAGTAAAAAAAAAAACAGTTAAACTTAAATACTACTCTTGTATCGCGTGTAACTTTAAAATAAACATTCAACTTAAAAATACGTTCTTTGAGGAATCGATTTTGAGATTCACATGAGCAGGGCGAATTTATGGATTTGTTCGTTATTTTACAGGCATTTCGTATTCTACAAAAAATCTTGTTTCCTTCAAAACATCTCAATTATTTAAATACATTTTAACAATACTTTTATATTTATGCTACATACTTGCTGAAAATCCATTATAACATTGCCTGAAGATGCCATTGTATAGCGAAACACCTGTTGCGGTTTTGTAAAGTGTCAAGTGTAAATCTCACTTTGAAGTGTATTTTTTAAATTATTGTACGATAAATATGAAACACCTATATCGAGCATTTTTTCGGCTTTTAAACAATTCTTGGATAATCACGATTAGACTCAAATGCAGAAGAAAAAGAAATTTTCAGTTTTGTTTAATATGCATTGAAGTTTTGAAAATAACACATATTTCGGATCGTTTAATTTTAATGTAACAACAGACTCCTCGACGCCTTAGAGTAATCTCTGTGTAGCAACATAGAAAGGTTTTCCAATATATGGAAAAGACATCCGGCCAATTTATACTCATCTCTCACAAAAAGGGACAGTTATCACTACATTAGGAAAAAATATTGCAATTAGATATAAGGTTTCCGGCCAGAAACAGCTTTCATGTTGGCGAATCAAAGACAAATTCAGTTCTTCTGTCATTTATGATAATGTTTCAGCTAAATACGTTGCAGTTTTCAATAAATCTTTCATCCGAATGTGGGATAAAGAAGATGATAAATTTGGATAAGGTGAAGAAATATAAGTTTATTAAACCAATACACACACTAATCACAAAAAATGGACATTCCTTCTCAGTTTTTCAAAATGGTGCACTATATAAACTTGAAGAAGCTCTGGAACAGAGAAAAACTTTGAACCCCAATATTCCTGAGATAGACCAAATTGAGGATATCATATGTGAACAAACTGGCGATGAATTATATTTTGGAATGACTGTGAAAACTGACGAAACTCACCTATACTGGACGTTTGAAACTAGTAAAATAATTGCACTAGAAGAAATGGGATGACGTGCGGTGTTGAGAAAAAAGCTGATAAATAATAATGCCAGTAACAGAAGGTAGAGATAAAAATTATTAGGGGGAAAAT